AGTGAAAAGGCACAGCATAATGAAGGCTCTTGGTTCAAAATCTGTGATGGAAGGAAAGCCAATCTGGAGAGAGCCCCAAACCCATTTTACCCCATGGATTCAAATAATGTGAGATGCTGATTGGCATCCCAACGTAGCCACCATTTTGACTGGCAAGCTTCCTATGCACCATCTCCCACTAAACAGGAGCTCATAAACTTTGTCCCCTTTCATATATCCCAGAGGTCTCTGCGTCCATTCCTGCCTGCCTCCCCCTTCCAGAAGTTTTATGGGGTTTTGGGTGACAACAGCGGTGGTGGGGAGTGTGCAACCTGGAGTCCCTTCCCCATGCAAGAACATACCTCTGCCACCCTCTACTCCTCCTGGTGTGACCCACATGCTGAAGACAGCTGGGGTCAGGAGCCAATGAGGAGGGACCAAATCTGATCTGTCAAGCCCCAATCAAATAAAGACACAGTTATAGGGCAATTCTCATATCTATTGAACAGCATCAGAAGACTGGAACCAAGTCAGATGATTGAGGTTGCCATCTCCCTCATTCTGGTGAGGCTCCTGTGTCTTTGCAAGCTACTCTGACATACCACACAGAGTCACAGATAGCACTTACCAATCACTGCATGCTCATGGGTGGAATAACTGCAGGATGAGCAACTGTTTGAACTGCTTGGGTGGTGCAGGAGCTAGATTGGTACAAGGAGTTGGCACGGCAAGAGTAGCAAGATCCATGCCAGTCACTGCAGCTGTGGGTTATTCCATAGGCATGGCTGATGATTGGCATCATACTGGGAATGCTCTGCAGGCAGCCCTTCCTGACCCCTTCCCTGATGGACGGCTGCCTGCAGAGATCAAAGAGACTCAAGGGAAAGCAATGAGTAATGTTCCACACTTGTAGCAAACACCAAGTGACTTCCAGAGTTCTGTACATCATGTTTAAGCAGGGAACGCAATTCCACCCTCCACTTTGAAGGGTGTTCCCTGATGGCTGACTGACCCTATTGGGGGACATAGGAAACCACTAAGCCAACACTGATGCATCCCTTGTGGGGAGCTGCAGTAGAACTGGGTCTGCACATCTACTGGGCTTGCTCCATAGGGCTCTGGTCTGGAAAGCAACAGGCACCATGAGTGTTTGGCCAATGGCACTCCAATTGGAGTAGGGTGACTGGTAGTCCTCCCAGACTGCAGCTGTCATCGTAGGTGTCCTCCATTTGCAATGCAGTGTACACCTTTACTGCTAGCAATTGTCATAGAGGACAGAATATTTGAGGGAATACACAAAGAAGGTACAGACAGGCAGGGGAAGAGAGCTGCATGCTATGCTGCCATGGGGGTTGGGGAGTTCATTTTGTGTCTTGGGAATTGCTATTGCATTCCTATCTCTACTGTTCTGCCTGTGCTGAAATGTTTATCTCTACAGATGTGCAGGAGGAGGTTGTGTTGGAGGTTGTATTGTCTGGAAGTCTCCTATGTACCGTGAGAGACTACTGCTTCCCAGCTTTTGCCACCTAACGGTTTCCTAGCTGGTCCTGCGCGTGGGTAGCTAATTGGCCCATGCCATGGGGGGGGGGTGCATACGAATGCCCTATATCCTATTATGCTCAATGGGTTGCCGCCATTCTTAACAGTGCCTGTGTTACTGCATCTATAGCTTTGCAATAAAAGTATAACCATTTCTGAATGCGTGTACTTCGTTGTTAGCTGTGGGTTCTGACACAGTCCCAGGTGAGGGCTAGGATTCCCCCACCCATGTTTACCTATGTGTGGTGCATTGTCCTTTAACCCCCACTCCCTTTCTGGTGTGCAAGGTATCCTGAGCAGAACAGCATTAGACAAATGTAGAAACAATATTTGTTCTGTCCCTCGGCGGTTTGTGCTGAGTGTCCCTTCTATCATGCTAAGTGTCTTTTGTGTGCAGTTTCCATCACCCAAATGTGAGAGTCTGTGCTCTAAGTGTACATGGCATGGGTCATAAAATTATGCCCATACTGCACACCCTCTCATCATTGGGGCTGGCTTCTATAAAGCCATGTGGCTGGCTTCTGGGGAAGTCTGTGATTAGTTGGCATTAGGTTTAGTTGGCATTTTAAATTGTGACAGTACATGGGAATGGGGAGGGAAGGGTGAGAACACTTTGTTCTCCCCTGAACTTCCACTTTGTTTTCCTATATGCCAGGTTTTCGTTGTCATAACATTGTGCTGGTGTTGGAGACATATCCAGGGCAAGAGAGGCTCAGGGGTCTAAATCCCATTTCACCCATTGCATGCCCTCCTCATTCTGCACTGGTGTAGTAGTCTTGGTGCTCTGTCTTGGTGCTGGCATGACACCAGCATGACTTGCCACTTTATCCTGGCATATGTTTGGGATATGCTGGCATAACTCAGAGATGGGCTACAGTAGGGTTTAGTCATCCTTTCATTAAAAGAGTAAGCCTCTTCCTAGATCTTGATGAGATAAATCTACAGGAAGTTTTCTCCCCAGTCTTTAATTAAAACAAGCCCACTCCTGTTTTTGATTTTTGTAGCCAATGATGAAAATCACAGCTATAACTGACATGCTCAGTACATGCTCAGCTGTGCTGTTATCTGAGAAGAAGGAAGCACAAATATATGGTCAAGTAAAAAGATGCTTTGCGGTAGACACAAAATAGATAATAGTAGACACATGCCTGATTAGCATGATTAAAAAGTAAGTTATACAAGGAGCCAATTTGTCTCCCCAGCTTTGGGGAACTGGAAAATGGCAGCCCTTGTCTTTAGAGAGTTATCCTACTGTTTGTTCTTAATGGCTAACTCTCTTAAGTTTGGTATCACACCACCCTATCAAGACAGCACCATCTTCCAGAATTATTAGCATAGAATGGGGTATACTAACTATTGTGCAGACTCAGTCTGAGACACTCTGTATTTAACTAAGAACTATATGTTTACAAAAGCTATCTGGAAGCCCGAAAGCCAAATTTAGTCTGGACCAATCAAAGCACTTATCTCAGCAATGAAGACACTTATCTGAGCTTGATTTGAGGGGCTAGTTCACTCCTGAATCCTTGAGATGAAAATAGCTGCTGCCACCCAAAGCGGTTTGTATATTGCTGAATTACAGTGTTTCTGCCTTCAGGGTTTCAAAACTGCAGTAAGGCTTTAAGTCCGTGTCATTGGCATGAAGCATTCTGCATAAAACACACTGGGGGGAAATGAAATAAGGTGCAATACTAATATCTAACATCTGCCAGTGTTTAAGCAAAATTCAGCATATGCTGCAAACTGAGAAAACAGAGCTCTTATTTATTGCTGTGTTGGGAGGGCACCTTATGTTGCTTTGGCACAGATACAATAATGTTTTCCATGTGCTTTTCCAGTAACTGCATTTCCACTGGAGGAAAAGCTGCACTGTTAGGTTCCCTCCCCCCTTTGACATGCATGCAGCTAAAGGCATGGGAGCTCTGCCAGGAAGACCCTACTTATGTCTAGACTTTAACACTGAAAAACTGAGGGCCCACAAAGAATCATAGGAGGTAGGGGACAATTTGGAATCTCCACTGCAATCTTGACCTCTAGGATTCTTTCAGTTCTCAGAGCCCTGAAAAGGCTGATTTATCCTCCTTTTTTTCCTTTCAGGTTAATCTGCACTTTCTGGAGCACTGTTAGAGTTCATCACACTAGCAAGGGTCTTTACAAGGTCATATTCCTCTCTGGGTCTATCAGTGTGTGGGTGGCCCAGTTTTGTGGTTTTGTGGATTTGCCAGTCTACTATTAGATAACCTACAGCGCTACAGGACTTTGAATTTTATTAGTGGCTCTTACTTTGTACAAACCAAAAATGATGATTGTTAATGTAAACAGAAAGAAATGTGAACATTCATTTGGGCCAAACAGTTGCTTACAGTACACCCAAAAGCTTGGACATGCCCATTGGATTTTTGTTTAACTTTGTTTCCAGTTTCCACTGCATCCCATATCAAAAGTACTTTTTGAAACTCCCATCAGTTTCATATTGCCCTCTCACCCAGGAAAAGGAAAAGAACGCCACCTTCTTTGTGTTTACAGGATGAAGGTGTTCTCCAAGGGGGAGAGGAAGGTGGACTTCACTGGACATTCTTCAGTGGGCAACAAAGACATGTGGAAAATACCCTTAATCTCAAAGCAATTAAAGCTATGGGGCAGTTTTATGCTAAAAGGACAGTGTATGACTGCTGCAGTCCTGAGGCTGCTTTCTATGCTGCTCTGGTAATGTTTAAATCTGGAAGATCATATAGGAAGGGCTGACAACATGAGTTTTCCTACTTTAATGTCACATGGGGAAAACTGAGCAGTGCTGATATGGAGTGTAGCCACACTATTGTCCATGCCCAAGTAATATCCCATATTCAAAACTACAAGAGCATCATGAGAAATGGACATACCAGACTGGCAAGCACATCATTCCTGTAATACAAAAAACACCAATGTGTTGTACAAGATATATTATGTCAATGAAGACAATTTCAGGTGGGTAGCCATGTTGGTCTTCAGTAGAAGGGCAAGATGCAAGTCCTGTAGCACCCTAAAGACCAACAAGATTTCTGGGTTAGAAGCTTTCAGAGTCAGAGTATCTGACAAAGGGAGCTATGACTCTTGAAAGTTTATATCCTGGAAATCTTGTTCAAACTGCTACTGGACTCAGATCTTGTTCATATTACATCACATTTGTCAGAATTTAGTATTTCCTCTCCATGTCAAGACTCTAGAAAATAAACTTTACAAATTTCCTTTCTCGGAAGAAGGTATGCTTATCCACCCCCACCCCATCCCCCATTTTTGCTGGTATTGTGCAAACGTACCTCCAGCAAACAAACGTTTGTGCAATAGATACTAGGTCCAGTCTAAGTTGTCCCTGGCTTTGCAAACAGAAGGAAACTAATCATTAATCAAGAGGGGTTTTTTTGTTTTTTTTAAAGGTTTAAATTCAACCAAAGCACCTAAGTCAAGGTATCCCTTTGTGTGAGATCCACAACTTTCTGAAGATGTTTCAGATGAGATTCTTCTATGCACTGCTGTGCTTCAGCATCACTTGGGTATGAGTTAAATTTATCTGCTTGACCTGTGGGTTTGGGGTTGTTGTTTTTTTTTTGGGGGGGGTCTTTTGGTCATTACAATTGGTCCTTTTTTGGTCATTCTGTTCCTTCAACTGCTTACTAACTTAAGAGGCAATGTATTTGTGCTAAAAGCAGCCTTAATGCAACCACGTAACAGAAAAATGAAATAGGTGTGTTCTTTTCCCCTTCATATGTTTGGATCAAGGATGTGAAAGCTATAGTTATTTATTTCTTTTTGTATATATACAAAAAGACCAGTGCCCCCAGTTTAACTAGGAACAACTGATTACATTAAACAGAGTCCCATGATGAGAAATGTGTTTCCTGTTCTTCCTCATAAGATGCAGTTCACTGATGACCCAAATGAGTATATCCAGATGAATATTATCTGCATGTGGATTGGTGCAACATAATGCTTTAACAACATCTCTTTATGATTAATTGATTGATTGAAAATATTTATATTCTGAGCAAATTACCTTCTATTTTTCACACAATATCAAGAAGTAGTCTTTTGAGAACTCTATGAAATTATGAACATTTTTTTGCAAAATCAGAATAGCCAGATTATTGTTTAGGTTTTTTTTAATGAAGTGTATAATTATATTGTAAGAAAAATGAATGAATTACAATGTAATATAACAATAAAACCCCAGAAACAGTTTATGATTTTAGTGCAGCAAAAATTCCAATTTCCTTCAGACCAAGTTGCTCTAATTTCTTTAAACTAAGAAATTAACTGAATGGAATCTGCATACATAGCATATTCTGAATTTATTTAATCCAACCAGAGGAAACATCATTTGCTTGAAAGATAGAAGGTAGCATGAAGTTATGTTATAAGTGGATCCCCAAAATACAGTAAATTCAGAAGTACAATAAGCTTAGAAGTATGTCTGACCTAAAAACATTTGAAAACTATTGGAGTAGACCAACAGTACATTTATTGTTAGTATATAACCTGAAGATGCTTAATAACTTAGGACAGAGGTGATAAAACTAACCTGAAGAAAACCTTCCACAACATATGGCTGAAAAGTTAAGGACTTTAACTAAAATACCAGAGAAACTAAAGGCTTCTGCTTGACTTCATGGGTTTTCATGAAATATATCTACCCTTGCAGATTGTCATGGATTCTAAGGGCCAAGCCTGAAATCAGATTGCATCATACGATTCTATAGTCTTGTAGAATCACGGTATGGGCACAAGCTAGTCAAAGCTCTTTAAATCCCATTAATTTTATTGGGAAGTTAATCCTGACTTAAAATTGCCTGGATTTGTGCCCTGTCTTTTAAAAATGTCCCTCCTACCCCTTAGCAATATTTAAACATAAACAGAGGCAATTAAATGGTGATGTTTTCATTATTTAGTATTATAATCTATTCAGTTTAGTTTTGAGATTTATGAAAGGATTGTTGAAGCACAGAACAAGTACCAAATTTATTTGAGTTTAATGTAAATGTTCAGGTGAAATAATGCAAACAGTAAGAAGTACTTGTGTGCAGCTGATGACTTTATTTTACGTATGTGTTAGATACAGACAGCTTTTTCACTTAATCTTGCCCAGTTATCCTCTTTAATACAGTTCCTATCTCATGAGACTTTTATTCCATGCTGCAAGTCCCATGATATCCATCATAGCCTTTATGGTGGTCAAAGGGGACCCCTCCTCCATTTTTCAGCAATGGGAAAGCTGTCTGGATCCAGCCCTATAAATGTTCTACCACTGATATGTATTTCTGGTTTTTAACTCAAGGAATTATTACTATGAGATGAGTAAGTGTACCTTATTGTCTCCCCCACTCCCCCTTCTATGACAGGCAGCAGAGGGTGAAAGCACCTTTGAAGAACATGGAGGAGGAGTACGTGGTCCAAGAATAGTGGAGCATAAAGCTCAGTCTGACTGCAAACAAGATAAGAACTGGCCACTGTGTGCTGATGATGACTGGGTAAGCTAATGGAAAACAGCAGGGCCTGAAGCAAACTAGTCAAGTTTTTTTTATCATGTACCATTATCCACATGGATGGTACAAAAAATGATGGTACGAAGAATTCCCTTGAATTTCTAGATAAACTAAATACCATGGATGAAAAAACCTTAGATGCTATTTACCAAAAGAAAATTGTACAGCTATGGTTAATAGACATGTCCTGACAGTCAATTAAGACTGCAATCTTTTATGCAATTCTATGAAAATAAGTGTCCTAACATTCGGTAGGATGTACTTCCAAATAGACATGAATGGAACTAGGCCACACTACTTTCAGGTGTGAAAAAGCATATGCACGCACGCGCACGCACACACACAATAATCATAGGTTAGTTATCAGATACATTTACTTGGATTCACTGGAAATTTCTAGACATAAAAGGGGTTTCTGTCCACGGAGTGTGCCTATTTCACTCTCCATCCTATTGTAGCCCCACATGCCCCCATAATGCTGGCTGCTGGGGGACTTGGGAACCCCAGGAGCACTATGAGAGGGGGTCTGCAGTGAGGGGATCAAGTGGAAAATGGTTAACAGAAACATAAGGCTGCTCTATCAGAGCTGGCAAGGAAACCACTGAAGGTTCCTATCACTACTTAAGGATAACAATCTGGAACTGTAAACAACCATAGCTGCATGTGGCCTTTAACATACTGAGTCAAATCTTCATTTGCTGTATTAAAAAAACCCAAGGCTGATCAAATGATTTGGCAGAATTTTCATCTAAACGTCAATCTTCCTTTCTTTCAGGGCTCTAAATGTCCTTCAGGATGCAGGATGCAAGGGCTAATAGATGAAACAGATCATGACTTTGATAGCAGAATAGAAAAACTTAGGAAAATGCTCTTAGAAAACCAAAACAGCTACAAGAAAGCTGTTATCGTAAAGCAGGACACCATCGACGTTCTGAGCCAAAATCTGGTAAATGAGTATGGTAAGTATCATCCCCATAATTGTGTTGACCCGATTGCTTAACAGTCAGCAATCAAAAAGAGTCGTTTGCTTTGTCCTTTGAGATCAACTCACCTTAAATGATTCTTCAATATGATTTCAGAGCAGGACCAAAGAAAATGTGTGCAATGCTTTGTCTACGGGAGACCTCATCTCTTATTCCTAATCAATCCTGTCCCAGATTATTGTACAGCAGTACAAAGAAACCTCTTTCCTCCAGTGCCCCAATAGTCCTTCCCCATATGTAAACAATTCAGTGAACAATCATGTTCCATATAACTAGAGACTGATAAGTGATGCCCTGTTCTTCAGTGCTGGCCAACACACTGAGTCCAAAAAGAGGGGAGATTTAACATGTTTCTTGTGAAGGGAGTACAAATCAAGGACAGGCAGCCATCCGTGACTGAGGGAACAATAATCCACACGTAGATTTTGAAGGGAGATGAGAGTCTTGTGGTTCACTCCTAATTTGCTTATACCCACTAATTCTGTCCAGAGAGAGTTCAACTTGTTCTTCCAGGCAAGGGATGCACACACATCAGACTCGGAGTCAGCAGTTGTGCACCACCTTCTCCTGCCAGACTATTCACTGGTGTTATGAGGGAAGCATGCATGCACAACTGTTCCATGGCATGATTTGGGGTATGTGTTTGTGTGTGAGGGGGGGGAGGGAGAGAGAGAGAGAGAGGGATCGCCATATTTATATAATTTTGATGAACTGAGGTTAGAAAACAATAAAATGGAGTTGTGCTTACCTGTAAGTGATGGTCATTATCTGTTCTGTTTCACCTGGGAAATGCCATTTGGCCTGTAGATTCTATATGGAGGATCCTGAATATTGGATTGGACACTGGAGGTGTGGTGGCACTTCCCATGTGGGATTGCTCAAAGACCACAATGATGAACTTTGAGAATACATCTTGAATGTACTAGGATATTAGGTTTTTCTTTAATAATAACATTCGATTCAGAGTGTTTCAACCTGTTCAGTTCTTTAGGTAATATTGACTGCATTATCGATTGCAATATTTCCCTTTTAAAATGTCAATTTTTTAAAGGCTGCAATGTTCGCCTTTTTCTCCTATACTTGAAAATTAATTTCAAAGACACTCAACACATTTCATTGCTTATCACTGCTTCCTTGTGCTGTTCTTCAGAGCAAACAAAGATCTAATAAAGGCTAACAAAGATATGGGGATTTTCCAGTGCAGGGACAGCAGAAAGACTCTGCAGAAAGGAGCCCCATCAGGGAATAACTCATCATTTTCTCTCAAGTAAAGGTGAAGATGTGGCTGTGAGTGGAGCATTAATCTGGACCCTCTTCTATGGTGGGAGCAGGCTGACCAAAGATTTTCAGTCCTTTAAAAGGCTTAGGATGGGGTTGACCTTGGGCCAGTTACCCACTCTCAGCTTAAGTTACCTAACAGGATTGTTAAGAGGTTAAAATGGAGGAGACGAGAATGACGTAAGTTGCTTTGGGTCCCCACTGGGGAGATGCCCAGGATATAAACAAAATACAAAAGAAGAAGAAGAAGAGAAGAAGAGATTGGATTTATACCCTGCCCTTCACTACCCAAAGGAGTCTCAGTGGCTTACAAACTCCTTTCCTTTCCCTTCCCTTCCCCTCCCCACAACACACACCCTGTGAGGTAGGTGGGGCTGAGAGAGCTCTGACAGAAACTGCTCTTTTTCAAGAACAGCTGTGCCAGAACTACGGCTTGCCCAAGGTCATCCAGCAGGTGCAAGTGGAGGAGTGGGGAATAAAAACCTGGTTCTCCCAGATTAGAGTCTGCACACTTAACCACTACACCAAAAAAAAATTCATTTCTTTACCAAGTCACATTGCTGTACTATAGTGCAGCTGAGGTGGGGGCATTTAAAGGGCATTGTAATGGAATTTGCAGGTTGAGGTGGTGGTGGGGGGCTTGCACAATGCACAGGAGTGACAATGAGGAGCAGGGTGAGGGGGACAGCAGCAGAACAAGCAGCATGGGAGTGGGGCTTGTGGACGCTGTTCCTGCTTTTTATCATGCTATTTGCTGCTGCCACCATGTTGGGGGCACTTATTTTGCACCCCCATCCAGAAGCAACATAACTTGAATGCAGAAGGAAGGAAGGAAGGAAGGAAGGAAGGAAGGAAGGAAGGAAGGAAGGGAGTCTAAAATAAACACCATAAGGCTACAATATGAAAGGGTGGTTTTTGAAGCAGCAGAAGGATTTGTGGACTGGAAGAAAATAAGACAGGGAATCCTTTGTGCTTACATGGATGTGTATCTTTGGGTGCATCTAATGCAATGCCTATCACTGAGATTTGTTTACTAAATTCCCTCTGTCTGCAGTAAAAAATGAAAAGGTTCAACAAAAGTTTCAGTGAGCCTTTATATGTTCGAACACTGACTTAGTGGTTTGAGGTCGTTACACCTTTAAACAATGAGGCTTACTAACGTCAGAGTGGGGCCTGAAGGTCTCCCAGAGTGACAACCGGCCCCCAGATTTCAGAGATCAAGTCCCCCAGAGGCAATGGCAGCTTTTGAGGATGGACTCTATGGCATCACCACTAAGCATCCTCCCCATCCCAAACTCTGTACTCCTCAAACACTACTCCCAAATCTTTCCCAAGCCAGAGTTATGTGAAGGGAAAACCCGTCGTGACAATAATGCCTTCTTTTGGTCTAGATAGAGACAATAGCTATGGACAGTTATCTGATGATCTGAGGAGGAGACTCGTGACACTGAAACAGAGAGTTGTCACCCAAATGACCAGGATTAGAGCACTTCAAAACAGCATCCAAAATCAAGTTACAGAGATAAATCGTTTAGAGGTAGGTTGTGTAGTTTTTTATTATCACTTTCAAAATTTATTTACAGAGGAAGGAGCTGTTGTTTATCATCCTAGTTGATGAGCTACTCTGTCGAGAAGACATGAAGCACAAGTTAAGAGTTCTTTGCCCTGTTGGGATATTTCCAGAATCATACAGCTTACAACATTATTATATTTACCAGTTTATACTAGTTAAGCACCCATTTTCCTGTCATGGTTTCATTTAGTGAAAATTATAACTCTAATCAGGATGCTGAGAATTATTTGTAAAAAAAAACCCCACACACATTTAGAACTACAGTTCTGCCCCACTTTATGTTGTTTTGTGCTGTTGAAAGCCACTGGAAACAGAACTGAAACGGACATAGCACTTAATAGAGCTGTATTTCCCTATGAAAATATAACACTGTGTGACCTGTGTGAAAGTTCCTACAATATGTTGACTTAGAAGTAAATCCTATTCAACACAGGTTCCACTACTCCTTTTTGTTTCCCCCTTATTCCTTGTTTTACAGCCTAATTAATTTCTTTCTATTTTCTTTTCAGCTGGCCCAAACATTCAGATATCAATTGTTAATAAGTTGTTCTTGTACAGGGTTCAGGACAGAAATTTAGTACTGTACTGCTTTTCACTTTGAATGCAAAGCCTTTGCTCACTTTCACTTTATTTTTATTATAAATTTGTAATTGTATTATTATGAGCATGCATAACTTTAAAAAGATAAGTAGCTTTGTCTGCAAAGTAGAAAACAGTATGAATTTTCCCAAACAGAAACTAGCAACAAACAATTGATTCATGAATGTCAGTGATAGGTTGCCAACATCATTGTCTGAATTCTCCTTTAAAATGGAGTATAAATGAATCATGACAATTCCAGGCTAAACTACATGTTTAGAAGCAATCCAGGATTTCCACGACTGGAGCAGTTAAACCAGTGTGGAACTAGTTTCTATTTGAAGAGCACACATATCTTTAAATAAAGCAATGTATATCCTGCCTCGCTCCCAAAGGACATGATGCCCTTCCAATGAATACAGTGGCCTCAGCTCTCTTACAGCTATTTCAGTAGCCTCAATGAAGTCAGTGGAATGAATCCATCATAAAGAGTCTGATTATTGCAAAATAAAGAGTGGTTAAGAAGAAAACTGCTTTAGGACATTTGGAAATCAAATTGCAGTCACCTAATTTTTCCCCTATCCATTTCTATACAGGTGGATATTGATATTAAAGTACGTGCCTGCCATGGATCTTGCGCTCGAGGTGTTGCCTTCAATGTGAACCCAGAGAGCTATGACACCATAAGGAAGCAACTTGTTCAAGTTAGTGGCATCAACTTGCAACCAGAATTTCAAAGTAATCCCTTGAGGGTCCTGAAAATACGACCGCTGAAAGACTCTACTGTTCCTGAACATTACAAAAGTCTTCTCTTGTCTGAAGAAGACACAAAAACACTTAATAAATTAAGTCTGTATGAAGCAGTATTAGAAGGTCCAGGATCAGCATCTGGAGGTTCAGCTGTAGTCACCAAGCATGTTGTCTCAGAAGCAGGTTCAGATCGACAACCACATACCACCAAGGTAGTCACTCCTGGTTTTCTGGATGGACTACCAGAAGAAACAGGAGGCTCCATCAACATCAAAGTGACCTCTACTGGTGGTGGAAGTGGCTTCTCTGATCTCCGTTTGTCAGATGTAAAAGAGTTTTTCACCCCAGATGCCACTAGCAAACTCCACGGAACAAGCACCAGGACCCATGTTGAGCATTTTGAAGGACCTGACATTATCTCTGACCTACAGGAGGGAGAAGATGATGATTTCAGAATGATTCACCTCTTACCTGAATCCCATTCTAAAACAAGTGGCACCTCATCACATTCCAGAACTGTCATAACCAGCAGCAGTAGAACTAGTAGCGTCAGCAAAGGGGGCTCCACTTTTGAAACCAAATCACTAAAAATTTCTTCACCATTTGAGGAGACACATAGTTTGCAACATGATGAAAGTGGAGAGGATGCTCCTGATTTTCGGGCACGCAGCTTGAGCACAGGCGGAGAGAAGCTGGGGGAAAGCTACATCGGGACAGGTATCCATCACAGAAAATAACTATTGAGGGAGCAGGAGTGAGTTCCGTTTGCAACCAAACAGACACACTAGTTATACCATTACCTCACTACATTTCATAGTTTAAAAATTACAAATAATGTGTCTGTTTGTTGCCATTTAGGAAAGGCGGGGAAATTACTTCTTATTGTTAGTGATTGGATAGCAAGACAGTTGCATAGAGAGTGTCATCTGCAATTAAAATGTGCATGTAAGAAATAATTTCAGGGGAAACAAAAACAAGTTCCAAAGTTTCTTTTTAGTGTAGCAGAAAATTAAATGTAGCTGGTTACCTTCAGCATTATTACTGTTTGGATTCCTGTGAGCCTTTTATAAAGTGTAACTGAAAACTTCTGTCAACCAGATCAACTTTTTTTTTTAGACTGTGAGGATATCCATCAAAAACACACTTCTGGTGCCCAAAGTGGCATTTTCAGAATCAAGCCAGCAGGATCCACTAAGGTTATTTCAGTTTATTGCGACCAAGAGACCAGTTTGGGAGGATGGCTTCTGATCCAACAGAGATTTGATGGGTCATTGAATTTTAACCGGACCTGGGAAGACTACAAGAAAGGTTTCGGCAGCGTGGATGGCAAAGGGAATGGAGAGCTCTGGTTGGGCAATGAAAATCTCCATATACTGACCCAGAAGGACACTGTCCTTCGAGTGGAAGTAGAGGACTGGGAGGGCAATGAAGCTTATGCAGAGTATTATATGCATATAGGTTCTGAACTGGAAGGCTATAGCCTCAGTGTCTCCGATTATGAGGGCACAGCTGGAGATGCTCTGATCATAGGCTCAGAGGAAGAAGGCAGTGAATACACCACTCACACCAACATGAAGTTCAGTACCTTTGACAGAGACAGTGATCAGTGGGAGGAAAACTGTGCTGAAGTCTATGGAGGTGGGTGGTGGTACAACAATTGCCAGGCTGCTAACCTCAATGGAATTTACTACTCAGGAGGTCAATATGACCCAAGGAACAACATTCCTTATGAGATTGAAAATGGTGTGGTGTGGGTCCCCTTCAGACCCTCAGATTACTCTCTCAAAGTTGCTAGAATGAAAATTAGGCCTGTAGAGACAGATTAGGAAGAAACGGAAAAACTGAACTTTCTCCCAAACGATATTCTTAAAATTAAATTGTATTTTTTAATCCAAGCAACTGAATGCAACGGAGACACATCTGCATATTAAATAAAACAAAATGTTTCACTCTTTAAAACATTGGTGGTGTGGTTAATTTATTTACAACCAGTATTATGAATAAATATTTTACATTGGCTGGTGGGCTTGGTGTTCATAGTGCACCAGTTGATACCCATTGAAACCAATCCTGTTATCTGAGCAAAAAAATTCTCTGGGGTGTATCCAGTGACTGCCTTCCATTAAGTCTGAGGTCTCCTTCCAACAGGAGGAGGCTTTCCCCATCACAGGAAGAATCCTTCTGTTGACGCTTCTGCTGAATTTAATGGAAAGAAGTCAATGAAGCCAACCTCATATTTTTAACTCCTAAGAATTGCTTGTATGGAAACATTGTTGGGTAGCACTGAAGGAAATGTATAACAACTGGGATCAAATCCTGTCCACTGAAATGGGAGACAAAAATCTGTTATGAATAATCAATAGGAAATATTCTGGAATGGGAATGCAATAAGGGACATAAAACTAAAAAAATGAAATTAAACAATATTATAAGGAGGAAGAAGAAAAGATTGGATTTATACCCTGCCCTTCACTACCCAAAGGAGTCTCAGAATGGCTTACAAACTCCTTTCCCTTCCCCTCCTCACAACACACACCCTGTGAGGTAGGTGAGGCTGAGAGAGCTCTGAATAGAAACTGCTCTTTTTCAAGAACAGCTGTGCCAGAACTACGGCTTGCCCAAGGTCATCCAGCAGGTGCAACTGGAGGAGTGGGGAATCAAACCTGGTTCTCCCAGATTAGAGTCCACACACTTAACTGCTAAACCAAACTGACCCAAGGCTAATCTACATTTGGGGGGAAATACATGGTACAGAGACGGGAGAGTGTCTTTTTAAAAATTCAACTGATAGAAAATCCTATCCAAAATTTCCAGCACATAAAAAACTAGCTCATCAGAGAATGGTCTAGGCGAAAACAAATCCTGCTAGAATGCTTGCTTTCCATAGGCAGGAGTTTAAATGTGGGTGATCAGAGCATACTGTTTCCTGTCAGCTCCAGCATTCTGAACAGGTACAGTCCCAATAGGTTCAGTAGAGTAGCTTCTTCTTCTTCTTTTTTAATACACAGCTTGGTCTTCTACTACGATGGTTCTATAGAATAAGAAACATTGGAAGCGAGACAGCTGGAACCAACTAGCATTTAAAATGCTGGAGGGGAAAAAAAAAACTTTTTAGTTGCCCCAAACCTTCAATATGGTGTTCAAAGAAACATCCTTCTTCTGTGGAGAGGGTAGAGCCTCTAGCAACAGAACCTCAGCAAGGCTGATATACTAGGCACATGGGAAAATGCCACAATGGAGCCCGAAGGAGAACAGGAGGAGAGTAAGGAGCAAGCTGAGGGTCTGTAGCAACCTGTTTCCAAACTTTGTCCCTGTTAGAGGAAGGAGGAGATTATGGAAACACCTCAAGACTTTCTGGGGCGTATAGGCCAAAATGACAAAGGTGTTGCAAAAAACAGGGACTTAGCAAAATATTTAAGGGTGGGTGGTTTAGGGGAATGAGAGCTGTAGTTAAGCTTTATATAAAGCTGGTCCCCTGAATATAATTAGAAGCCATGATTAGTAAAGCAGTTTATTGGTCTGTCAATGCTAAGGCCATTGCAGCTTCTCCTCCTTTCCTTTGTTTTTGAATTCACACCATGGAAAAGTGTATGTAGAACATGGGCAGGGTCCTGGTTGTCTGAAGAGTTTATGCTCACTCTTTACTCAGCCCTACTCTGAATCTACATTATAGAAATAAGGGAGAATGAGGATCCGGCAGTGGTGGTAGCAATGCCACCCTGTGTAGCTCCAGGCAATACAACCTTCAGGGAACATGAGCTAGATCTAGGAAGGAGAAGCAGTAATGTGGCTGGAAGAAATAGAAGATTCCTTACGACAGAAGCCTGGGAAGGAGCAGCAGAAAGGGAGAAACTGGTGAAGAGATAGTGCCAAGGGCAGATTTGGAGCCAATGCAGACATTGTGGCAGGACTTAAGTGTTGTGTGGATTCCTGTTAGGGCTGCCAAGTGGGGGCGGGTAAACCCCCGCTTCGGAGGCCCGATTCCCACCCCTGCGGAATCGGGCCCCGGGGGGACTCCGCCCCCCGAAGCACAGTGTGGCTGCGTCTCCGGAGGTGACACAACCACGTCGATCACGTTGGGGGCATGGCCCCGATCGTCAGAGGGAAAACTCTATGGTTTTCCCTCCGATGATCGGGGCCAGGCCCTCAACGTGATCGACGTCGCGCGTCGCATCGACAGACAGCTCCCGGAGCCCAGCGAGGCTCCCCCGCCAGTAAGAAAAATTGACTTGGCAACCCTAATTCCTGTCAATATGAAAATGAGGCATGCAGTTTATAGAATTAGGAGCAACATCATGCTTTATATACATCTTTGAGAATCATTTATGAAAAATTATCCAGTCTGAAACTGTAGAAAGCAACCAACTGGCTTATACTCACATTCGTAAACTCGGTATGTTATAGGAACTACATGGTTTGTGACAATATTAAAAGAGCTTAAAGGCCACTATTGTATTGTTTCCTAGTTTAACACATAATTCTCCTGAGAGACTTGAGAGGAAGCTGTTTAAGAAACCATAGCTAGAAACAGAACTAGAAAATTGACTTATAAAGTGTGGAGTTTAGTAATCCAAGAAACGGAGGCTCCCTAATTAATCAAGAAGGATGCAAGGGATATTTTCACATGGCAGCAGTTTCCACCAGTCTCATACCATCATCATCTATATATCTATTTCTAAAGTGTGGCCCCCATCTGTGGATATCTAAGTATGTGGATTGGGGCTACACTTACCCCAAACAGATGTTTCTGCAAACAACGGCGACACAGCTGGGCCAGGAGCCATGTCTGGCTTGGCGACAAGGGAGCCACTCTGGGCCTGGAGCAGCTTCCTGATACTTCAGCTGCTGTGGCTGGTAAGGTAAGGAGGGGGCGGAAGAGAGCTGGGGGGGGAATGTTGACAAGGGGGGTTAACGAATTAGAGAGGGGGTAGGTTGACAGAGAAGGGAGTGGTAGATTGATAGAGAAGGGATGGGGACAAAAGGGAGAGGGGGTAGGCTGAAATATAAGGATAGAGGGAGAAAAAGTGGGGACATAAAGGGTAGGTTGACAGAGAAGGGGAGGGATAGATTGACAGAGAAGAGGTGGGGTCAAAAGAAATGGGGGTAGGTTGACATAAAGGAATGGGAGAAAGAGGGTAGGAAATGGGGTTGACACAGAAGGGGAAGAAGAAGAAGAAGAAGAAGAAGAAGAGAAGAGATTGGATTTATACCCCGCCCTTCACTACCCAAAGGTGTCTCAGAGCGGCTTACAAACTCCTTTCCCTTCCCCTCCCCACAACAGACACCCTATGAGGTGGGTGGGGCTGAGAGAACTCTCACACAAACTGCTCTTTTTCAAGGACAGCTGTGCCAGAGCTTGTGACTGACCCAAGGTCACATCAGCAGGTGCAAGTGGAGGAGTGGGGAATCAAACCCGGTTCTCCCAGATTAGAGTCCGCACACTTAACCACTACACCAAACTGGGATAGATTGATGGAGAAGAGCTGGGGGACAAAAGATATAGGGGGTAGATTGACAGGGAAAGGAAATGGGAGAAAAAGGGGGGAGATTGTCAAAGAAGGAGAGGAGGAGAAAGTGACGGGGGGAATTAACAGAATGGGAGAGGGAGAAAGAGAGGTGGGGAAGATTGACATAAGGAGAGGGGATGAGAAAGAGGAGGAAGATGATTAGAGAAGAAGGAAGAGGGAATGAAGCTAGTGGGGAGGGATGCATCCTCCCCACAAGTTTCTATCAGGTCCCCACTTATATATACTATTAGCAAAGTCAGCCAGATCTGAGGATACTTAAATTTAGTGACTGGAGCTATGACTGGACAAGACAGACCTTTCTACAAACCTGGAATCTGCTCCAGGTTTGCAGAAGAGTCTGAAATCTTTAAAAAACCCAAAAAACACTGCCGTTAAAAAAACCCCAAAATAATAAAGGAAGTGTGTGTAATTTTAAGAAACAGAAGCCCTCAATGGTCACTCCTAGGTAACCACAGCATTCTAAGCTTGGTCTGTCAGTAAAAGGCAGGGGAAGGCCCAGCGGGGGGATGAGGGAGATGTTCTGGGAGCTGGAAGCATTGTCACATGACGTGCCTACGTCATTGGAAGTGATGTCATGCAACATGCCTACATCATGCAGAAGGGACGTTGGGACGTTAGGGCTGTTGGGGGCAGTGCTCTGATTTTTGGGCAAAACCTTATGGTAAAATCAGCCTTGAATCATAGAGTTTTGCCCAAAAACCAGAAAGTCACCCCCCAGGGTGACATTGTGATGTCATATTTATGTCTGGCAACATTGCTGTTTGGGGGGGGTCTTCCCCCGGCCAGCTGGCCAGCGGCAAGCAAGAGCCCACAAAATCAAGAATCCCTCGCCCCCAACTGGGGAATGGCAACCCTAGGGCCCTTTGAGGGAGGACTCATTGGGGCCAGGGTCAGCAGCAACCATTGAGTGATGATACCACCCAGCTTGCATGACTCACCTAGGCCTGGCTATAAAAGCCATTGTGGTGTAGCTTCAAAGTAGGGTCTGAGAAACCCATGTTCAAACCCCCATCTTGCTATGGAAGCTCACTGGGTGATTTTCAGCCTAACCTACTTCACAGGGTTGTTGTGAGGATAAAAAGGAGGAGAGGAGAATAAAGTAAGCTGCTTTGATTCCCACTGTGGAGAAAGGTGAGGTAGAAATGAAGTAAATAAATAATAAATACAGCTGAAGATCAGAAGTAGATAAAATACGGTTTGATGAATGGGAGAGAAGGAGAGAATGGGGGAGGGAAAGGGGAGATGATATGGATGTTGCTAGGAGGAAAAGTGAGGTTCTCCCTGACAAGTTCTTGAGGATATCCTGCCGTACAAGTATGCCTTGCCCAGTGACCAGCTCCACACAAATTGGGCCACAGTTTTCCTAAGTAGAGTTTGCCAGGGTGGGGGAGGGAAAGCTTAAGACAAAGAGGCAGATAAAGGGAGGTTGGCCCTTGGGTGAGAAGGAAGGAAATAGGAAAAGGGAAGAGGCAATGGGGAGGGGAAGAAAGATGAAATAGTGGAGGAGGGGGGAATGAGCTGCCTCCCACAAATCCTTCTGAGTTTCCACTTGTATATGCTAGTAGTGAAGTGTGGCCCCATCTGTGGATATCTAAATCTTTGGACTGGAGCCACACAGGAAACCCCTGGTTTGCAGAAAAATCTGAAACTAAGAAAATACATTGGTAGGTTTTTTAAAAAATCTCTCCAAAATAATACCACTGTCTACACATGCCTGTTCTGGGCCCAGCTGCAGTCGCAGCAGTATCCAGAAGATGCTCTGACACCGCAGAAACTCCTAATCTCTGCCACCATCGTGGCCAGGCCTGGAGGCAGCTGCAGAGGCTCTGCAATGGGGGGAGGGGGCTGGGATTGGAAGGAAACTGCGCCAGGGCTCAGAGGGTAAGGGGGGGATGGGATTCCCCCATGAGTCTCACAACCCCCCGCTTGTCCCAACCAGTAAATAAAGATGGAATGGTCAACTGTATGAAAGGCCACTGAAAGATGGAACAGTATTAACAGGGATGACTTTTCCCTGCCTAAGTGAAGATCATCGTCCAATGCACTCAAAGTTGTTTGATTTCCAAACCCAGCCCTGAAAACAGAAGGTAGTTGCCTCATCCAAGAACCCCTGGAGCTGCTCTATCACCAGATCCTCTATCACCTTCCACTGAAATAGCAACTTACAACTGCCTACAACTGGTTGCTTCATCCTTAGTCAATGGAGTTTTTACAAGCAGAGGTCTAGTAACTGTTTACTTTGAAACACTAGGAAGAACCTCAATGAGAGGCATTGTAACCAAAGACCCTTAATACCTTTCCATGGCATGATTTTAAAGGCCAAGATGGGCATAAATTAAGAGTGTGGTTGCTGGCTCTCATACCCCCAAAGACTCATCCATCAGTAAGATCTGAATCTTTCCATTTAGAGCCAGTGTGGTGTAGTAATTGCAGTACTGGACCAGGATCTGGGAGACCTAGGGTCAAATCCCCAGTCTCCCATGAAAGGTTGCTGGGTGACCTAGAGCCAGTCACTCTCTCTCTACCTTACAGAATAGTTATGAGCACAAAATGAAGGACTGCGGAGTATTTTATGCCATTTTGGATTTTCATTGGGGAGAAAAGTGGAATATAAATTAAGTAAATAAGTAAACAGGAAAAGGTCAAGCAGGTACTAGATCTACTCCCCACTTAGCCTGCAAGTCAGAACAGATGGAAGCATTTTAAATCAGCAAAGGACCTTGCTAAAATATCACGGCTTGGAGTTGAATTAACATAATTAACATGTTTGGACTTAAGTGTTAGCATGTAATGAATCACCTTCAATAACTGAACTGGATGAAGTTCAGCTGATGCAGTGGTGAGGTATGAATGACTCCCACATATCTATCATTTCAAAAAATGTCTAAAACTGTAGTGCTCAAGAGGGCATTTGCTTAAAGGGAAAGAAGGGGTCGTAAAACAGAACTCTGCAGGAAGGGCATTTTCTATAAAGGTGGTAACGTTTTGCCCTGACTTGGCTGACCCAGGCTAGCCCAGGCTCATCAGATCCCGGAAGCTAAGTAAGGTTACCCCTGGTTAGTACTTGGATGGGAGACCAGCAAGGAAGTCGAGGGCTGCTATGCAGAGGCAGGCAGTGGCAGACCACTTCTGAACATCTCTGGCCTTGAAAACCCTACAGGGTCGTCATAAGTTGGCTGCAATTTGACAGCACTTTCCACCACCACCAATAAAGTTTTAATTGTAACCATCTGTGAAATTGTGAGGCAATTTTTCCTTCCCCTTTTTGTACTGCATTGCTTACTGGATGATCTATGCTGCCGGAAGTTCAGCATCTTGTATTTGTGAAATCCAGCTTATTGGACTTTGGTTCTCTAATTGCGATATCCAGCGTATGTGACATATGACACTGCTTGTACTTCATTGTTTTTTCATTCCTGAAATCTAGTTTTATTGCATTGTTCATAGTATGCACTATACTGTCCGTATTACCTTATCTTTTATAATTCTGCAATCCACCTTGAGTGTCAATGAGGAAGGCAGATGACAAATGAAGTAAACATTTTAATGCATAGGTACACAAGCAAGCAAGATCTGCAAGAGTGAGCTTTGCTTGAACATGTCACTTTAAATAAATGGAATGCCCGTATGCACAGGAACCTCCATGTTCAGAAGTATTATACATCTGAATATCAAATGCTGAGGACAAATAACAGGAGAGAGGTTTTGCCTTCATGTGAACTGGAGGCATCTGGCAGGCCACTATTTGAAGCAGAATGCAGGACTAGATGGACTCCAGCCTGAATTAGAAGTTATTACCAATTACAGCTATTGTGAATGGTCTGTATTTTTTTCTTGATCACTTAAATCTTGCCTTGCTTATCCTGCATTTCATGGTCCTTTGATCCTGCTGTTTACAAATATATATGTGTCTGCCTAATGAGGCCTGGGTACATGCATCTTACCAAGTAAACTCTAGTCTACAGGTTCATGCTAGAATAAAAGTCAGTCTTCAAGGTATCACAAGACTTCTATATTCAGGGATCTGAATTCAATTTTAAATGGAATAGAACATTTTAATACTGGGAGGGGAAATGGGCTAACTAAGTAGTTTCAGTAGTGCATGTCTTGTTCACATCACAAATAATATTTGCAGGCTGTTTTCATGGTACAATTTTAGTCACATATTATGCATAATATCTTGGCTTTTATACACATAGGTAATTTTTTCTTATTACTTTCATGAAAAGTCAAGATCGAGTATCATGGAAAGATGTGAGCAAAAAATCTTATTACTATTTATTTTGATAATTATTATTGTTGGAAGAAGGGCCGAATTTTCATGCTCACTTTCTTCAGTGAATGCCAAGACCCTTTAAAATTCATCCATACAACTCCATCATCTGTTCCATGTTTTGTCATATCTGGTGTATACACTCCATTCCAGTAGTATCTGCCATTTGGATTGGCTGAATGACAGCGATTATACCACCAACCACCAGCATCTTCCTTAGCACACTGTTTTTTGGGGTCTGTCGTCCTGTGAGGGAAAACACAGAAATCAGTGTTGTTGATCAAGACACCTGCGCCCTCATAAGACATTAGGTACATTCCCTGTGAATATTCTCTTCACTTCCAACAGACACGTAATTGTGAATTCAGAGCCTGCTTCGGTGGGGAGGGTGAGATATAAATCAAATAAATAAATAAATAAATAAAATAATACCTTGCTTTAATAAGGTCTGCCCTCTTAAATCAACATTTCTATCTCAGAAGATTGCCTCACAGTCCTCCAGACAAAATGTACTGCACACAGTACACCCTCATCATTCACAGATTAATGATTCTTCATTTTATTTATTCATTGTCCAAACAATGTGATGTGGTTTCCTTCAGGCTTTTGCTTACATTTTGCAGGAAATATGGCTGTTCTGCTACTGAGAGGCAGCACATTCTCTGCCTCCCAGTATTCACAAATGTCATCATTCACAGTGATTCCAGGAATGGATCCCTACAAATAGTGAGGATCTATTGTATTCTTAATAATATTCTCCAGGCTACAGCTCGGGGGGGGTGGGGACTTTAGAGGTCCACACTGGAGCCTATGAGCCAACCAGGACGGAATGAATTGGTTTCAAGTACTCCCTTCTCCTAAACCTTCCCCAGATGGAGAAAGACATCCTTTAACAAGTTTATCAAAGGGATTTAATGGATCCAGCCCAATGATTTCAATAAGGGCTATGTAATGCTAGGTGAGCAAAGAATTGCAGCATTTGTAAAGCAATCCATCTCCAGTTACACATGTCTTAAAATTATAGTTTATCCATTTTATCATCGAGCATGCCAATCATTAGTTTTAAGCAACTTATCATATGTATATTTTTATCCCCGTTTAATTACCCAGCCTCCCTTCTCCCTTTGCCTTTGACATAGCTCTGAATGCCAAATCTTCTGTACAGGTTCCTCACAATTAAAAACAACAGGTGTTTCTTTTAGTATTTCATGTATCAAGCCAAAATTTGTACATCCAGGAACAGAGTAAGGAGATAATCACACCAACAGGCAAGATAAAGAAATAAAAGATGGTGAGAAATCATGAAAAGAATTGGTATCCATAAAGAAGCAGAAGTTTCTGATATGTGAAGTTTCTAATATGTGAAGAAGAATGGCAGATGAAAATACACATACCATCTATCATTGTCTCTGTCAAAAGTGCTGAAAAACATGCCATTATGGACAGTCATTGTTCGGTTCACGCCTTGCAGCTGCGAAGCTCCTTCCATAAGAGCATTTCCAGCTGTTCCCTTATAGTTACTAACAGAGAGCTGGTACTTGTTTGCTTCTCCCTGCACACTGAATCGTTCATAATGTGCCTTAACTTTATCACCATTCCAGTCTTCCAGTTCAATTAAAACTTCAGTAGGTCCTGTTTTGGTTAGCTGGCTGATTCTTTCATTTCCAAGCCAATATTCACCTGTGACACAACAAAAACAAATTGACTGAAGGACTTTCAAGAAAGCTTTGCAGAGACTACATTAAAATGGAAGGTCAGCCTGATGAGGAGAGAGGGGAGAGAACTGAGACAAAATATCCCCCTTTGACTAAAATGTGGGGTTAAATCCCAGAACCATGCATAAATGCACAAAAGCTCAAGAGAGCAGCCTCAGTCTTACAAGTGTTGGGCTCAAGACGTAAATGACAAGACCAGTTCCCCTATTTGTGAGCTCACACAAAAGAACAGCACAAGTACTCACAACTTAGCTGAAGCGTAAGATAAGAGACCTCACTTTCTGCACAAGGAGCAACAGCAGGGATTAATTTATTATTACCAGCTGTTCAAAGTCAAATTCTTACCTGGCGTGTCACAATAGTTCTTTCCACCACTCAATGCAATATTTCCAAACCCTTTTTTGTATGAATCCCATGTTCTTCCAAAACCAACACTGCCATCTTGGCGGTTCTGAATAAGAGTCCAGCCTGTCAAATTGGGAGAGGGACATCCAAATGTAATGATTATTTCTCATGAACTAATATCATTTCATTTTTTTAAAAAATGAAATATCCTGGCACAGGCCATTTCCAAAGCCATCACTAATTCAGCTTAAATGTTTTGAGTCTTAAAATGCTTTATTTTACTAAATATGATCTGTGTGCTTTCCACAGAAAGTGCACAATCTGTTGGGAACTTCTCCCATTTCTCACACAACTTGGTAAACCTAAATACCACTAGGATTGCCACCCTCCAGGCGGGGCCTGGAGTTCTCCCGGAATTATCTCCAGACGTCAGAGACCAGTTCCTCTGGAGGAAACGGCAGCTTTGGAGGACAGATTTGGTGGTATACCACAGAGCTCACACGTCCCCCAAACTACCTCCACTTCCCAAACTCTGCCCTCCCCTGGCATCACCCCTAGATATCCAGGAATTTCTGAACCCCGAGTTGGCAGCTCTAAATACCTCAGATAATACTGGGACTCTGGTGGCTAGTGGAGCACTTAAAATCCAGTGATTTCACTGGCAGCTAGTTATGCATCTACAGAAATTAATTCCTCCCTCTCTCAAAGGCAAGCTACAACATATTTGACACAGAAATAAACTTTATAAGATATTATCCAGCCAAAGTTCAGTGCTTTTTAGTCCAATTGATATCAGTCTCTCTCTCGTTGAATCACTGGAATTTAACAAAGGGCTTAACTTTGGCAGGATTGCATCTATAATACAAAAAACTATAGAGGGCGTAAACTCAACAAAATTAAAATCTCTATCACATTTTTAGAAACTGTGTATTATATTTATTTTTTTAAGAAACTAATTTCATAGTTAGAATCACAGACCACACCCATGTTTGCCTGTAGAAGCTACTGAAGACAGACAGTGAAAAAAACATGACTATTATGACTTCCTTAACACTCACCTCCATTTTCTGTGGTCATGTCACAGTAAACTCTGTAAGGTTTGAAAATAGGATCAGGTTGAATAAGGTACAATTCTGATGTTTCGCCTCCTTTCCTAATTATGTCTTCACACTCTGTAATGGGAGCAAACAACGAAATCTATTCAAACTCCTTACATACAGGATGTCTAATGTGTATTTACGTCTGTGGCCCATACCCTGTGGAAGTCAACAGTGCTCTTGGGAATTATATTTAGAAATCCCCCCTCCCAAAAAAATCCTGATAAATTTTATTGAACTACTATGGAAGCTGTGATCTCTTTCAAGATGTGAACTCTTTCAGGATTCAGTGCAATGGAGTTTTCATTCAATAAACCTGAGATGTCAGAGGCCTGATGCCCATGCATGCATCAACTGGTTGAAAAGAAAGGGCAGTGAAACATCAGTAGGATCGTTTTAGATCTCTTCATAATAGGGAGTTGATAAGAAGGTGAGAGAGAAGGGTTTTTTGTAGGGTTGCTGCACTCTCAGGTATCAGCAGCCAGCCATAACTCAGAAGCTGTAACTGTAGGTGGAACTACCTGAGGCACTGCAAAAGGTGGGGCGCTCACAAAAGTGGAAAGTGCAAACAAAAAAGAGAAGACACTGATAGGCTTCCTTCTGGTTATTGTTTGCTCACTGCAGCACTACTATACCTGATAAAAGTGGGCAATGTGGCACAAGTGGATTTTTCCTTTATTGTTCTGGAATTTCACTGTGTGCTCCTCATTAAGTCTGGTTTAACTAGGAGAACTGAGCATGTGCAGTTTTCTGCTCATTCAGCTCCTTTATATCTTTCTCCCGATATGTTACCACTGTGCACGCGCACACTGATAAAATACTGTAAGAAACAATCCTGATACAATTGTAGCAGTGATTGTGCCAGTGCTTTACTGACGCACACATGCACTTATCTGCATTGGTAAAACACCATAGAAAAGGACTCTTCATGCAATTATATACACAGAGGTGGACTGGCCATTATGGCCACCAGGGCTTTTCCAGGTAGGTTGATGGCCTCCCCTCACCTGGGCTGGACCAGCCCAGTGGCACAAGAGTTGCATGGGGCCTGCATGGGCAGGCAGGGTGACTCTCCCTTTCTCCTTTGGGTGGGCAGGGGCAGGGCAACCAAGCTGCCTCTCCGTCTGTTCTTTGGGGAGGGGCTCTTCCCCAGCTTTCCCTCCCAGTCCACCCCTGGTACAATCACAGTCAAGATTGCTGCTTTTTTTTTTTTTTTGGCTGTGTTTTATCAACAAGCAAGTATAAATCAGGTGGAAATGTGCAATTGCCTAGAAGACAGCAAACTGCCCATGTACAATGATTTATACCAAACTTGGAAATTAAAAAAAATGTAACAACAAAGCTTTTAATGCTCCACTTTGGAAACCAGACTTTGTAATTTGGATCTCTGAAATCTAAGGAGAAAATCAGATTAGAAGTTTGGAAGTACCTCTAATAAGGTTCTTTGTGCAATGCCCTGGTAGCTTCTTGAAGGCTGCCTATATACCTAACTGTAGAGCAAGATAAAAAAAGGATATGAAATGTTACCTTTGCCAGAGACAACTGGGATATTGCATGAAACTGTACAAGGAGTCTGGCAGCTGTCCAACTGGGATGTGACAACGCTTTCCAGTTTTTCTAATTTTTGGTGCAAAGTGTCCACAATACTACGAAGTATTTTCAGATTAGATGGTATGTTGCTGTCCATGTTCTCTTTGATGAAAATGTAATGCTGCTCAACCTCTTTGTTGTATTCAGAAATTATATTCTCATTATCTAGAAAAAAGAAAATTCTTATAAACAGATTTTTTTTTAAAAAAAACCCTAACAAGATGGCAACCTGATTAAAGTAGTTTATAAACATATAAAGTAGTTTATAAAGTAGTTTATATAAAAAAAGTTTTGCCTTCCATTTTTTACCTGGTCAAACATTTGAGGGACACAGTGGATAATCTGACCCACTACTCTGGCCAAGAATCATTGCCCTAATTTCTTAAACTGAGGGTCAGTTCCCGTGACCAAATGAGGTCATTATTAATGTGCTGGTTTTAATGCATGATGCTTAAACAGGTTTTACATTCCCAAGGCTTAACAAAAAGGCTACTTTGACCAGGATTATGGTTGAAAAGTGACACAATTAATATAGGGTGTCTCACAAATCAGTTGCATCTGGAAGCAGTCACATGACACACACGTGTGTAAGACTATATAGATCCACTCAACCCACATCACAGGTACTACACATGTTCAGAAAACTTGGGAAAGTTTGAGACCTTCTGTGAATGAGTCTTGAAGATGTCACAGTTTGTGCTGGGTAGTTAATTGCAGTGCCAGTACCCCATCACTGGTTGACTTCAAGTTGCTGAGGGAGTACCCAGAGCTCAGTCTGGTCATGTGAACTGGCTCACCTCACAGTGCTCATTATTTGTAGCCTTCCTAGAGGAGTCTTTTCCACTGAAACCAAGAGCAAAACAGCTTGGTCTGCACACCAGTTTACTAATGGGATAAATAACACAGGCAATGGTTACCTTTTACTTGTTTCTGTCTTTTCGTTAACCGCTGATCCAGTTGGTTGGTGAACTCATAGAAAGTGGAAGAGGTTCTTTCTAGGGCACGTATTTTCTTGTCTAGATCTGCAATAGATGGTTTCACTGTTCTTTCCTGTTTTACCAGTGCAGTTTGCAGCTCACATCCAGTTGGACATAGCACTCCCTTTTTAAAAAAAGACCTAGTTACAAATGCAGTCGATTAGGATTTATATCTCTCCTTATATATAATTGAATAGTGGGTGCCAAAGTTCTAAAATGCACTCCTTTAGTGTATGGACGCTTGAACTGTCAGTCAGAAGACGCTGGCTGGGTTGACTGGCTGCTTTGTGCAGTCCCGCCCAGTGTTTCAAGGTCTTTTGCATATGGAAGCTGATTGGACTTCACTGCATTCCACACCTCAAACTCACCCCCCCCCCCGCAAGGCAGTTGGAATGTCAATTGCATATGGAACCTTCAAGGTCTTTTGCATATGGAAGCTGATTGGACTTCACTGCATTCCACACCTCAAACTCACCCCCCCCCCCGCAAGGCAGTTGGAATGTCAATTGCATATGGAACCTTCAAGGTCTTTTGCATATGGAAGCTGATTGGACTTCACTGCATTCCACACCTCAAACTCACCCCCCCCCCCGCAAGGCAGTTGGAATGTCAATTGCATATGGAACCTTCAAGGTCTTTTGCATATGGAAGCTGATTGGACTTCACTGCATTCCACACCTCAAACTCACCCCCCCCCCCGCAAGGCAGTTGGAATGTCAATTGCATATGGAACCTTCAAGGTCTTTTGCATATGGAAGCTGATTGGACTTCACTGCATTCCACACCTCAAACTCACCCCCCCCCCCGCAAGGCAGTTGGAATGTCAATTGCATATGGAACCTTCAAGGTCTTTTGCATATGGAAGCTGATTGGACTTCACTGCATTCCACACCTCAAACTCACCCCCCCCCCCGCAAGGCAGTTGGAATGTCAATTGCATATGGAACCTTCAAGGTCTTTTGCATATGGAAGCTGATTGGACTTCACTGCATTCCACACCTCAAACTCACCCCCCCCCCCGCAAGGCAGTTGGAATGTCAATTGCATATGGAACCTTCAAGGTCTTTTGCATATGGAAGCTGATTGGACTTCACTGCATTCCACACCTCAAACTCACCCCCCCCCCCGCAAGGCAGTTGGAATGTCTGGTGGTGTGTAGGTCCCAGGATAATGTTTTAAAAGCTGCCCGGGGAGATGGGGACCGCAGACAGGTTACAGTGCCATAGACTCCACCCTCCAAACCAGCCACTTTGTCCTGGGTAACAATTGCTGCCAGTCTCCAGGTGAGGGCCACAGATCACTCACAATTACAACTGCTCTTCAGGTAGCAGAGATCAGTTCCTCTGGAGAAAACAGTGGACTCTGTCATTATACCCTGCTGAGGTCACCACAGCAAATTGACACTGTTTGCCCAAAGCCAGAGCACTCCCCCAGAGCCTCTTTCTAGATCTCGTTGTATTGCTTTCACAACGGGCTTTACTGCTAGTATATATATATTTATATACCTTGAGTGATGCAGAATCACACCACTAGGTAAGTGGCACTCACAAAAGAAACAGTACTTGTACCACTGTCAGTACATACAAATGGAGCTTTTTAAGTGTGTATGAAGAAATGGTAAACAAACCAATAAACTGGATAACGAGTTCATTGTACATAATTCATAACAGAAGAATCATGAAGTTGGGGTGTGAAGTGATTATGTGCCATACTGTGTAAACAAGATAAATTTTTAAATAGTAGTAATGACAGTGCTAAAACATAAGAAGCAAAAATAATGTAACCACCTAGAGTGGGTTCCATTAACAGAACAGAACTTCCTGTCTGGCCTTCCCTCTGCATCCTACTGATCTCCATGAAATGCCCTGGGGAATGACATGGGGGGGGGGAGGCTACCATGAGAAGGTGGAATCGAAATTGCCCCCCCCCCACAAGGAGTGGAACATTTATTCTGGATCCAACACCTAAGATATACAGACTAATTCAAGCAGAAAGTAGCTCAGAAACAGCCACATTCATGAGGAATTAATGTTCTAACACATCCATGTATGCTCTGAGATGCCAATGAGCTGCTGCAAAGGGTGAACGCATAGCCACATGATTCCTGTCATAACCCTTGTAAGGACACACTGAACTCGGAGGTAACCCCTGAAAACAGAAAGAGACCTGCTACTATTAAACCGTCTGTTCCCATAGGAGTATCACAGCAAATATACCTACCAATTCCTCTGACGCATGTCTGCAGCCTCCGCTGTCAGGGTAAACTATCTGCTGTACAGCTTGACCCCGGGCAGGGGCTTTTGTTGGACGAGCTCGGTATCTAAGGCCACCGCTAGGAGGAGGAGGAGCTGGCCTGAATGTTGGAACTGGTTCCCGTTGTTTGTTGACCGGCCTGTGCCCTCGTGCATCCACTCCTTCACCCTCACCTTCAATCTGTACAACATCAGAGGGAAGAAATAAAGAATAAATACAGCTTCTATCGTAATCTGTATCAATCAAGATGACCAACTACAGTGTATTTACTGCCACATTTCAATCCTATATCATAATTGTATTTGCAGAAATAGTCAACTATACTAGGTATCTGTGCATTCACTCATATAAGAAGATCATGACTTTTATGTAAGTATTACGGATCTCTCTCGGGCCGGGGACCAACCAGGAGATTTTTGCTACCCAAGCGTAATGCTCTATTGGGGGCATACTGAGAGAGGTGGTCCTGAAGGTATGTGAGTCCCTGACCAGTAAGGGCCTCAAAGATCAGAACCAGCACCTTGAACTTGATCTGGTGCTCCACTGGAAGCAATTACAGCTCACACAGCACAGGTTGGATATGACTGAGTTGTGGTAGAGAGGAGTGCTGAATGCACAGGAAATATCTGAAGCAATTACTTCCAACCAGCTGCCAGGTCAACACTTTTATTTGTATTCGTTGTATGACTAAGCACAGACAGTAAAGATTACATGCTGGTTTCATTCTGAGTAAAGAGAAAAAAACTGAAACAAAAAATGCTTGTTCTGTTTCACTAACAGCTCTTGGTCCACAAAATTATCTCATACAGTCTTCAAAGACTAGGAAAATATTATGGAACAATGATGCAGAGGGAGGGCTCCTGCCTTCACCCCTGTGCCATTTTCCCAAACACCTCCTCTTCCTGTGTAGTCTGAATCTGATCTGAATTGGGGCCCCATGATGCTTTTAAATGGAGTTCCCACTGGGAACTCTCAGCTGCAATCTGGTTGTGAGTCCCTGTGGTGGACTCGTGTATGACATAATGTGCCATTTGGCTCTGAGTGCAGAGCACTTACTATACAAATCTCAACAGAGTTATACCCTTCTAAGTCCACTGAACTCAATGAGTTTAGACAGGTGTAATTCAGGATGGCATTGTTAACATGGTTAAACCAGTCTTCATTACACTGGCCCTAGGGGATCACAATAATGAGTAAGGACTCCTTAAGTACAAATGCATGCAGAAAACCAGACCATGATTGGGATGCCAGTTCTTTTGGCTTTTGAACAAGAGTTCAAACCCCAACCTTTGGGAAGCTTCCTTCACTTCTAAAATGGGAATAATTATAGTGTATCCCACAGAGCTTTGCAAGATGAAAGATGAGAAAAGTTTAGGTATTTTGTCCATTAAAATAACTGTGTAAATGACCAATTGTTTATGAGCTTGTTATTAGGAATATGAAGACAATTAGATGGTCTGATTTATACTAGTAGTAGCATTACCTGATTGAAGTACTCTTAATATGTTCATTTATATTATTGTTTAAAATTATAAGCCCACCTTTCTCCTAAAAGAAATTGTGATGGAAGGCCAGTAACAACTATAATTTCCAACACAGACCAATAAAACTGTAAAAAAGAGCATGGCCAACAAAACACACAAATTTGCAATCACTCCACACAGAATGGTTCCACTTACTAACTCTCAAGTATTAGTACCAAATCTCAAGCCTCTCAGAGGTCCACAAAGGCTCTCCTAAATTAAAACCGATAATCAATCAACAGAATGAGATTTTATAGATTAGTCTGCTAACTAAACCATTAACAGTGCAATCCTAAACCTTCTAAGGCCATTGAAGCCAGTGTTGAAGATTACACTGGAAACCCAGATAGATTTTTATAGGAATGGAACAATGATTCTGAAGAGGGGGTACTATTTCTGTGTTTTTAGATGATGTGTGCATACATATTTGAGATAATGCTGACATTGTTTTAGCAGAGACAACCCCACCCATGTGAATGAGGAGCAACCCCTCTTCTACGATAGTGCTTGCCCCCTGTGGTTATTTGTCAGTGTGCATTGCATGCCATGCACATACAAAATGTAGGAATGACGGATCACTTCCAAACTACAGGTAGACTCTAGATTATCCCAAAATATAACCACAGTAATATAACTATAATAACTAATGATCCTCAGATCTGTAAGCCGCCCTGAGCCGGCTCTGGCTGGGATAGCGGTGTATAAATCTGATAATAAAATAAAATAATTGTTAAAAATTTGTGTAATTTCACTGGGGTCAGATGCATTGATAAAATTTCTATTGGTATCCCATAACTTTGTGTGTCTGGAAAGTGCTCTCAAGCCACAGCTGATTTACGGGGACCCCAGCAAGGGACTTTCAAGGCAAGTGAGCAGCAGAGGTGGTTGGCCATTGCCTTCCTCTGCAGAGTCTTCCTTGGTTGGTCTCCCTTCCAAGTACTAACCAGGGCTGATCCTGCTTGGCTTCCGAGCTGATGAGATCAGGCTATACCATGCCACCTTCCCTCCCCCCGTCACTTGAGGAGTAACAATGTTTAAAAGCTTCAGAAACGATTGATAAAACTGGTAACAAGCATTTCTGTACGGGATTTATTGGGTAGCAAATTATGACCAAATATTTATTCGGTTTATGCAAAGCAATCCACCATAAGAACATTTATATCATTTTATGATTTTAGCAGAATTTAAAATAAAATTCAGTCTTACCACTGGTACAGCAGTAGAGTCCTGCAAAATGAACAGGAGAGAGAAGGAAAAAGAATTATTAAAATAAACACTCAAGCTGAAAATAAATACAATAGTACTCTCTGCCTTGTTTAGACCATAACTTAAGAGTTCCTTAATACATATGAAAATGTAGTAGTGTTGGCACCTATCTTCTGAAATCTAAAACAAAAAATTATACATATATAAAAAAATAATAATATACAAAATAGAACTGATATTCTAACCTCATCATCATAGTCCAAAGCACACTGCGATTTATCAAGAACAATGGAAAGTAGGAAGAGCAACAGTAGTTTCATGATATTACTTTTGTTGAACATCTTAGAAGATTTTCACAGCTGTATCTCCAAGAAAGAGTGAGCCGGTGGTCATATATAAATGGATCAATGTAAGGTTTTTTAGCTTGTTAATGATAGGTCTAGCTTCCCTCCCACTGTTAATGTTTAACCAGATTGTCCACTTTGTGCCTAGATTATCAGTTGAGCAACATCATCTGCTATATAAACTATCTCATGTACAAGGAAAACAAGATAGTTTCAGATGCAGAACTGCTCATTTGTAGAAATTATTTGGAAGTCATTCAATATACCATAATGATCAGAACATAGGTAAAAAAACCAAAAAACATATTACTGACATGGTCATACCCCAAAGTGCCTGTAACTGTGATGAGGTCACTTTCGCCTACTCCGCTTCTATTGTCCTTTCTTTTCAGCTTCCCAAGTTTCACCAGACCTGTCCCACAGTCATATAAATGGTTATACTTCCACTGCTGCCATAAAGTTACTGTTCTATTACTAATGAAAAACTGTTGCAAGTAGGGTATTGATCACTGGGTCCATCCTAAAACAACAGCAATGTAACATAGTTTAGAAAGGGCAATCCAAATATCTCACAGTAGTCAGAAAACTTTTGAGCCTTCGCCATGCTGGATGT